CCCTGCTCCCACCTCCCAGGAGAGTGCCCAGGCCCCTGGGCTCTGGGGTCTCTCTCCTGGTGAAGCTGTTCCCAGTGGTGCAGAAGAAGGCTGCGGAGCCTGACATAGCACTGGGTCAATGCTCGCTTTGGCGCCCGTCTCCCACGGGGGAGTTGCTGCCGTGTTGTGCAGCAGATGCTCGGCTGCGATTTGGAGACGGGGCTGCAGATGCCTCACGCACTGGGCCCTACAGGCTCTAGCATCTGGTGGGCTCATACCCAAGGGACCAGTTAGGATCTCTCTTTAAATATATCAGAGGGATAAATACAAGGGAGGGAGAGGATTTATTCCAGCTTAGTACTAATGTGGACACGAGAACAAATGGATATAAACTGGCCGTGGGGAAGTTTAGGCTTGAAATTAGACAAAGGTTTCTGACCGTCAGAGGGGTGAAATATTGGAACGGCCTTCAGAGGGAAACGGTGGGGGCGAGGGACCTGTCTGGTTTTAAGATTAAGTTAGACAAGTTTATGGAGGGAATGGTTTAATGGTAAAACATATTAGCTGAGGAATACCAAGCATTGGTAGGTAAACAGTATAATGGCTAACAAGGGTCAGGCTGGAGACTCTTGCCTACATGCTCGGGGTCTTACTGATCGCCATATTTGGGGTCGGGAAGGAATTTTCCTCCAGGGTAGATTGGCTGAGGCCCTGGAGGTTTTTCGCCTTCCTCCGCAGCATGGGGCAGGGATCTCTAGCAGGAGGGTTCTCTGCCAATTGAAGTCACTAAGACACAGGACTTGGGGACTTCATCAGCAGAGTCAAGGAAAGGGTAGGGATGGTTTTGTGGCCTGCAGCATGCAGGGGGTCAGACCAGATGATCATAATGGTCCCTTCTGACCTTAAAGTCTATGAGTCTATAAGTACTCTGCATGGCTCCCCTGCCTACCCCAACAACCCAAAGAGTTGAAAAATGGACACAGAGTCTATTTCTCTTTGTTCTACCTCAAATCAGCATCCTGTACTCGGACAGATGTGGACTGTGTAATCAGACTGCCTTACTTTTTTGAACTTATTCCCATACATAATAGTAAAGCAATCAGAAGTCAATTACTTTCTATAAACTTGCAGATGGGGTGGACTCCATTTTTAAATGGGGAAGAATGTTGGGGGAGGGAGGGAAAGAGGGAGAAGGGGTAACAGGCAACAAAAAGTAAAAAAAATATTAGAAAAATGCATGTACACACTTATCTGAGCTCCCTTCCCCTTCATCATCAGGTTCATCTGAGCTCACCTGGTGGTACAGACATGAGTCCACTGGAGTTTCCAACAGTTTGTGGCATGGTTTAAGTCCCCTGCCACGTCTCTTCCTCTCCTCCCCCCCCCCCACTTTACTCTTCACAGCAGGAGTTTCTGCCTTGGGCTCCTGAGAAGTGTCCACAGTCATCTGCAGGGTGCTGCTGGGGTCATTGACAAGTATGGCATGCAGTTCATTATAACAGCGGCAGGTCTGTGGGGCAGCACCAGATTTCTTGTTGCCCATCCTCACCTTCTGGTAAAAGTTCCTTCACTTTCACTCATCCCTATTGTGACACTATTTCTGTATCCTCTGTACCATCTGCACATTGATGTGAATATTTCTATTGCCATTCCACAGATGTGCTTGCACATCCTCTTCTCCCCACAGGCCAAGGAGATCCAAAGACTTCTTGTCTGTCCCACTTTATCTGCTAGGTCCCTGTGTGGATGGTCAGATACATACACCAAAAGTGAACTGGTAGGAATGTTTGCCAAGGTGGACAACTAGGAAAAGGTATTTCAAAAACATGCACATAAGTTTTGGGGCACAGGCAAGATGGACTTCTGGTCTATGGCCCCATGGCCAGTGAAGTTCAAAATTGTGACCGAAGCAACGCTGTCGCTGGAACATGGGCACAGTGGGATAGTGGCTGGAGGACTGTTAGTGTTGACATATGTAATGCAGTGTCTACACTCCCACTGCATCAACCTGAGTGGGTTGACCAAGGCTCTGCATTGCTCAGGGAGGTAGCGTTATTGCATCACTGTAATGCATGCATCAGCAGAAGACAATTTTTGGTGTAGATGTGCATAACTAGGCTTTCTCAGGTCAACTTATGTCAACCAACTTTGTAGTGTAGATGAGGCCAAAGTGTCTCAGAAGGGTAAAGGGCCACGCGCTAGCTACCTGCATCACAAGAGAGCAAACAGGCTCCACAGAGCTGCTACATCCCAACTTGCACAGGTGTGGGTGTCAAGGAGAATAAAAACCTTAGTTGCCCCACAACCATCTCTCATGCCCTCGCAGGCCATAACTGTGCCTGTGTATTGGAAATGTATGCGGTGCTGGGTATCAGTCTGGTGCAGTTTACTCCCTCATCAGAGCAGCAAGGTAACAACACACACTTCTTTACTCTAGATCATGGCAAATTAAGATTGAGCCCTCATTGACAGAATTGCTCAATCAGTAACACCCAGTTTTTGAAACAACAACAGCTACATTAGCAACTTTTATAAATTCAAAGTTTTAAAATATTTGTATCTTCTTTTTGTTCCTTGAATTGACTTTCATGCTTGTTTCATTGTTAATAGTCTGTAGTTAACAGTGTGGTCCTCCCCTCATGGTTAGTGGGAAAGGAAGATGCAGACCATGTGTTATGGCTTCTATTCTGTGTCCTTACAATATATAATGTTGTGCAGTACTTTTTTGGTTGTAATGATTAGAAAACATTTTTCAACTTCCAGTGTGCTTTGTAGCATGCAGTATGTACTATCTGTCTTATTTTAATCAAATGTTGGTATCAATTTACAACTGTTCATTTTTATCAAATAATCCTACTAGTTTGCAGTGTTTCTTTAGGTGGGGATGAAAAGTCTTGACCACCTTTTCTACTCTAACTACCTGATACTGTTTCATTTTCTCAATTTAGGAGCTTCCAGCACCTTTGTTTGATGATGTCCACAAAAACCAAGTGGATGAGAAAGAAACAGCTATTAAGTCTAAACAGGAATCTCAGGAATCCATGAAAATAGCCTGGCGTTACCAGAATTTACCAAAAATGGAGGTAAATAGGTTTAGTATTATATCTGATGTTATCCTATACTTTGATATTAAGGGTAAAATTCACTTGTTCCATAAATATAATCTCTGAGTAGAACCCAGACCATGGAAGTGTTTTCAAACTGTGCTAAAAGGTTGCCTCAGGAGAGCAAACTATCAGTCACCAATACATATCTTGATTAGCAAAGATACAGAGAGATGAGAAATGCAGTTTACTATGTTGCATGACATCCAGATTTACTTAACTTCTGAAAAGAAAACCAGAAAATTAAAATATTAAAGCACCAAAGGCTGGTGAATGTAACACTGTTTCAGACAACTTTTTAAACCTAAAGATACCTTTAGTATTTTTATTGAACATTTTTCTAAATGTATCTATTCATGGTGGTATGTGTAGGTTGAATGAACAGTACTTATTAGATCCCTCTAGTGAAAATACTTTATTGATGCGAACTGTTGACTTGCTTATCCATGTGCGTAATAAGTAAAGTAAGCACTTGAGATTATATCAGCTTCACTGTCACTAGAAGGTGGCATGCAAGACACATGCCTAGTGGTCACTTCTTCAAAGTTTACAGCTGTTAGTATTTTATAAATTATGTTTTTCCTTAGTCTAGTTACTTTCTTGTTTAATCTAATTGTGCAGTCAAACCTTACAAAAATTATAGCATTTTGGACTACACAACAACAAACTTCTCCTTTTTTTTTTTTTTGGGTGCTGTTTGGTTTAAGTATGTTATATACTGTGATTTAGATGTAATCATAACTGCCTAGTAAGTTAGCCATATTCTAAAAAAATATAATTGGAATGTGACAAAATGATCTTACAATGCTTGGCATGTTTGGTTTTCTCTGAAATTGTACAGACGTGGCTATATATTTTGTGTCAGAGAAGACTTATATGTGGTGACATGCCAAATCAAATAGCCTCCAGCATGATCATATAATCTCATCAATTTTATTCATGTAGAGCTTGCTGTACCACTCTGAACCATTACAAAATATAGTTTGTGTTTTATCCAGTAATGTAAACTAAATTCATAATACAATGATGTACAAACAATTGATTGTCACTATTTCAGTACAAAATGTCCTGGGTCTAACAGAACAAAAAGTTGCATATAATAACCCAAAACAGGCTTACTCTAGTCCTCTAATATATTATTTAATAGAACACCATGCACTTGTCCTTGGTTATCACAGATGGGATTTGCATGTTGAAAGTTGTAAACTAATAATTGTCTGATCTAGAACAGCTGTACAATCTTATAAGGTATGATTCCGTTATTACTATCAAAATTTTCTTACAATTTTTGAATTTTTTCACAATTATGTACTAGAACAGCGGTCTCCAAACTTTTTATGTTGCGTCCCCCCCCCCTTACCTGTAATGTAATCTGTGTGTGCCCCTCCCCCAGGAGCCGGGGCTGGGAGTGGGACTGCGGTTGGGAGCTGGGGGCTGAGGCCAGGGCCGGAGCTGGGGCCAGAGAACAGAGCCAGGGGACGTGGCTTGGAGTGGGGCTGGAGCTGGGCCTGGGACTGGAGTTGCGGCCGGGAGCAGAGCTGTCATCAGAGCCAGGGGCTGAGGCTGGGGGCAGGGTTGGGGTGCGGGGAGGGCTGGGACTGGAGTGGAGCTGGGGGCAGAGCAGGGCTAAGCGGCACTCCCTCTACCTGTAGAGGCTGGCCTGGGCCTCTACATGACCCCCAAACTTTCCTCCTCATCCCCCTTGGGGAGTGTGCCCCACATTTGGGGGCCACTGTATTAGAATGCTTGTTTGTTTTTAAGTAAATGCTAAATTGCCAAAAACGAATATGAAATATAAGACTTGAAAATAAAGCTATAGTTGTTAAAATAATGGTCAAATTGATATATTTTAAAAAGAAATTTCCGTTAGATGAAAGTAATCTCAGTGATCAGAAATATTTGATGGCTGGTTGAATGATGCAATATACACTTATTGGCTGTTTGGAAGTAATAACTCGCGCAGCATCTCTGTCCCTCTGATAGTTTTAATATACCTAGTAATAGCTGTTAAGTATTTCAGTTTCCATTAATTCATGTGTGTTGACTGATTAGAAATTTCTGTCAAAAGGAAACCAATAAAACTTTTTTTTTAAAAAGCTATTTTCCAACCAGCTTTAGTGCTTATATTTTAAAATTATATTTACAAATAGTTGCATGGTATAAGAAGGTTATAAAAAGTAAACTGTTTTTTTTAAATGTTTTAAAGGGCTCTAAATGTCAGCTGAAAACGTATCTAGTCGATATCTCTTTTTATGCGAGGCGTAAAAGTTGTCTTGTTAGTGGTTCTGTTAACTAATTTAATTTTTAGTTGTAAGTAACCAAAGAGATTTCTGTTGTGGAGATGGCTCAGTTATTCCCTTTCCCTTCCTAAAAACAGGTTTAATAAGCTGTTAGCCAGCTCATAAATATTTCATATTATGTATCATGTTTAAATTAGTAGTCGTGTCTTGAACAGTGTATTTTATATGTGTAAATATGAATATATTCTTTATATCCTAGATAAACTATAGATTTATAGGTAATCAGTCAAAAGGAATTGGATACTGTGTGTATGTGCTGCATACAATTACCAATTTAAAAGGTTCTTTTCTCTATATCCAGGGATACACTCATTTAAACTCTTGGTAAAAACATCAGGTATAGCAATGAAAAGGTATAGTGGTTTTTTCCCCTTTTTTGTTTGAATGAACTGCTTGTGTTCTTGGGGCAATATATAAACTGTCACAGCATGAAATCAATTTTCTGACTTGATTCTCCCAAATCTGAGATTTCTAGCACATTAGTATTGCAATTAGAATCATTAAGAGCAGACGGTAGCATAAAAGCACATTCTGCTCACTGACAATTTAGTGTCTTTTTCTCCTTGTGCAGACGAGTTCGTAGGAATCCAATAAAGAACTGGCTTGAACCTACAATCCAGAAATAAATTTATCTCTCAAACTTAAGAAGAATGAAAAGTCTCAGTCTCTCTCTCTCCCCTCTTCATGGCCAGTCTGCTAACACAGATTATTCATGCTTACTTGATTCAGGTGGGTTTTTTGCAAGCTTCCCCACTAGGCCTGGGAATGTGGTACATTGAAGCCTATTCAAGGCTTCTGACATAGACTGAGCTTTTATTGCGTGGTGTTTTATTATAGCCAAATCCTAGTCTCCACCCAGTTTGTAGGCACTGTGCTCATTCTTTTGAATTAAGAAAGGTTATCACCTACCTTAATCCATGCAGCAGTGTGGATTAAGGACACCAATGTGCCCCAGGATTCTCAAAGAGGATCCTGGAAACTTCTTGTTTCTTCTTTTTTGCTGTCTTTACTAAACTCTATTGGGCCTCAGTGAGGATTTGCATCTGAAATGGGCAACCTGGAGCTTTTCTCAATGAAGACATCAGATCAAAGTTCAGTTAGTCAAGGCCTTTCTAAAACATTAAGGGGGCTTGGACGTACACAATAAAAGATGAGCCCTGGCAGAGATTGCAGTAAAAACATTGTGTTCTGTAATCCGGATAAAGGATAGATTATAGGCCAAAGAACAGCCCCTTTTTAAATTGCTTTCAGAACCCTCATACTAAATAACTTTACACTTTGTATTTAAATATATATTTTACCGTAATAGTTTGAGTTTTATTTTGTAATTTAGAATGTAATTTCTAGTAAGTAAAATTAAAGCCGTAATTTTAGAGAGCTCACAGGTTTCTTATAAATATATTAAATGTTTTAGATCTTTTATAGAATAAGAAAACGGTCTATTAGTGAAGACCAAGGACGTCTTAAGACTTTTTTTTTTTAAAAGACTAAAATTTTTTTTTCTGTGTTTATAATTTTAACATTTTGTATTCTCTGACAGCTAACCCAGCCTAATATGCATTTTATTTTTCAGGCATTAACTTGGTAATTCCCAAATATAAAATGTAAATAAATTCAAATAATATAGTTTTAATTAAATCTGTGCTTTTTAAGGTGTTTTTAAATTTGAAACATGAAATAAAAACTAGGAAAATGCCTAAAAATGTTTCCTTCAAAAAAGTAATAATGATACCTTGATACTAACCAGGTCTGTTCTGTGTGTGTATTCAAAGTCTCATATGTTTATTTTAATGACAAAACCATGTCTTATTATTTTTACTCCTTTTAGAGCTGTCGAATCCATATAATGATTAGAATGGAAGCTAAATTCTTTTCTGGTTCATATTTAACAAATGTGTAAATGTTGTAAATTCCAGTTTCAGTACTACATTTTGCTCCTTGTTCCACTTATGCTATCCAGTTGTTTTCAGTGAGGGAGGCACAATTGTAATTTAGGGCAGAATTTGTCCCAGAGAATCCTCATTACTGATGACAATGCACAAGTCAGAAAGAACCCAGCTCAATTTTCAGATGCTTGGTTGAGTTTGCAGTATTGGAACTTTTTAAAATAACTAAACAAAAACTCATCTTTTTGTGTAAAATGAGGGAAAGTGTTATAGAAGCTATTGAGAAACCCTAAACATAATATCTACTCATGCTATTTTTAGTCACTTCTCAGGGTGCAACCACACTGTACGTGTAAAGCAAAATGCATTTTCATTTCATCTATTGCTTCTGGTTTTTGCGCAGATGAACTTTTTAATCTGCTGCACAGTGTCATGACTTTCAAAGTTAAATCTGTGTTGCTTTACACGGACTATGGAGCATGCATATTTAAAAACTGCTTAGTGCCAGCCCTTGGCCTAAGTCACTGAGTTTTATACTTAGGCTATGTATACCCACTAGTATAAACTCATTTACCTGACTCTGTACATCCTTGTGCATGCTCCCCATACCTACACCAAGTGTTCACATTTACCTGTGTACATACTGCAGTTTTTGTTACGTGACGTTAATGCTACCATTTCAAGGTCAGTATCCCAGGGTCCTGTGCATCACAGGGACACACTCTAGGAACCACTTTGCTGAGGTGGTGTTTTTTCTGTCCCTTGACTTCACACATTTACAAATGGCAATTCC